CAAGTCCAAATTTAAATAATAGTCCAAGAAAATAAATAAAGTTTAAATAAAATAAGTAAACGTCGTCCGATGTCCTCATCACTTAGCATCGTGATAGCCAAACTTCTCAAGCAACTTCTTCAAGATATGCCACAGACACCACCTATGTGTCGCACGTGGAAATACAATCTGAATTGAATTTTGCATTGCCCTGTCTTGAACAGTAATTATTCCATGCGGTGCTTGATCGTGCATGTATTACAACCATGTTCGAAATAGCCATACGAATGTAACAGTGTCCTCATTAGCTATCAACCCACAACCGATTAGTGTTGATTAGCATCGTGATAGCCAAACTTCTCAAGCAACTTCTTCAAGATATGCCACAGACACCACCTATGTGTCGCACGTGGAAATACAATCTGAATTGCATTTTGCATTGCCCTGTCTTGAACAGTAATTATTCCATGCGGTGCTTGACCGTGCATGTATTACAACCATGTTCGAAATAGCCATACGAATGTAACAGTGTCCTCATTAGCTATCAACCCACAACCGATTAGTGTTGATTACCCATGATGATTGACGCCAACAAATGGGGCGAACGACATGTCGTACTTATTAGTTAGGTATGTCGTATCAAAGGTGACAACATCACCAAACTCTTTGTATATTTGTCGACACCTGTTGTCTGCTCAAAATACATTCTTCAACCGAGACTCCTCATCTAAATCTATACTGAAGTAAAATCCTGAGCACTGTACTTGCAAATTTGAAAAATAGGTCTGTATTACGGCATCATCTCCTTCTCCGAGTTTTAACCATCGCACTTGTTCAATATAATTTCGACAATCTTTCTCGATGAAAGTAATAGTCTTATAACCACCCATTTCCACCACTGCGGAGTTGTAACTCTTATGTAATGGAATTCGTGCCATATCATTCACTTCAAACTTTTGTTTGACATTTGCAGTCAACTCTTGATTGCATCGGTACATCCTAGATTTCGAAGGACTCGTTACATGATTGTGCTCTAGGTGGGCTGTATTTACTCTCCGTTTTCCATTACTTAGGCCATCTCCAACCCAGCACCAAATTTTGCACCATTTTGCACCAAATTTTGCACCAAATCTTGCACCAAACTAAAATTCATCTCCAACCATTACACCAAAAATTACACCAAATGAACAGTATTTAACCATTTTCTTCCCTTTTTTTATTCTTTATAATCTACTTATTTGAAATATTATTTATTTAATTATTTCAGAAATACATAAATTACTAAATAAATAATTAATTAATCGTGTTTGATGTATTTTAAATTATTTTCGTCTTTTAATTAATTAATTAATTATTATGTCTTACATTTAAAATTTATTTTAAACACAAAAATTATTAATATTAATAAAAATAATAATAATTTATTGTATCAAAAAATATATAGCACAAATTACATAAATACCCTCAACAAATTTATTTAGGAAATGTAAAATAAGGGCAAAATTGGCATTTTACACTTGCACCATTTTGGTGCAAAATGGTGCAAAGTGAGGGAACCTTGGGATGGGGAGATGGACTTTGATGATCTGCTGACCCCAGAAATACCCATTGAGCAAATGCCTGATGTTGAACCATTAGAAGCACCAGTGGAAAGCCAAGAAGTGGCAGCAACTGTTGCCTCTACATCGTCACAGAATGTTGGTGGGATCGGTATGCCTGAACCCGATCTTCAGTTGCTTGCTGAATTGCTTAAAAATCCGCAGTTGGTTTTCGCCCTGACATCTGGCCAGGGTGGTCAATTATCAAGTGGCGAGACTGTTAAGCTGCTTGATATGATAAAAGCGAATGGAGTGAACTCTTCGAGTAGTTTAGCTGCCCTAGGCACAAAAGCTGATAATAAGGTTGAAGTATCTCTTCCATCCCCAACTCCCTCCAGCGATCCTGTAACGGTGCGTAAATTCAAGCACATATTGTATACAACTTTGTTGAATATATATGGAATTGTTTCAGTTTTCTCCGCAACCTTGTGGTGTTCACGTCTGTGTTCTGGTTTGACTTGCAAACTTTGGAGGTCTTGGAGGATGGGACGGGCTATATACGTGAACACTGAAGCTGAAAATGTTCTTTGTTTTCCTTCTTTTCCCATTGAACCTACGAAATTTTGAATCCCGTAAAGAAGGAAGGGAAAAAAAAAAAATAGAAAAAAAAAAAAAAACCCCTACTTGGAGCAAAATTGTCGGAGTTGTTCTTTTTTTGGGTTTTTTTTTTGGGTCATTTTTTTAATTTTTTTTTTTTTTTTTTTTTTTTTTTTTTTTTTTTAAAACTTTTCATTTTTTTTTTTTTTTTTTTTTAAAACTTGTCAGGTCAGCAATTTCAAAACCCTGTGAGTTCCGTGTGAGTTTAAACCTGTACGTGAAGAGTTATTGTTAATATATATTTTTTTTCAATATTCAATACTTTAAATGAAAAAATTCATCAAATTTTATTAATTTTAATAGAAAATGGTAATTAAGATTATTTAAGAAATATGATAAACAATAAAAATTTTGGTTTATCAAATATATTAGAATAATTTAACTTTTAAAAATAAATTAATTAACTAAAAATTTAATAACTATAATATTGTTTAATTTAAATAAATGGGGCAAAAAAATGAATGATAAAAGAAAGAATTAAACGAATACATAAATGGGGTGAGACTAAAATGGGTAATGGGACAAGAAAATGTCTGGCAGGGTCGAGGGTGGGTTTGGTCGTTTCTCCCCAAACATGCCCCGTTGCCAACCCTAATTCTAAGGGTTTGTTAGGTATAGTTTATGTGAATTTCATTTTTTCTTTCTAATTTACTTTTAATCATACCCTTTGTTGAAAAACTTTGCACGCAAGTTTATATTTTTTTTCTACTTTTTCATAAATATTTTTCGAAAAAAAATTCACATCAATAATTTCTTTTAAAAAAAAAAAGCCCTTATTTAGCTCTATTATCTAAAAAATTATATTTTCTTTATTTCTTATTTTTAATTACACATTTTTCAACAAAATAATATTACCTATAAATTCAAAATGAAGTTCAAAAAGAGGCTAAGATATTTATGTAGCGATTGCATACCGTTAATTAATTATTTTTCATCAATTTAGTAGTGATATTTGAAATTATAATAATATTGTTTAAATTAAATTGAAATGCAATGGCTCAGTCGAAATATTTTATATAAAAGTTCAGGGACTCAATTGAGATATTTCTGTAGTTCAGTGACTCAATTGAGATATATTTTTTAAAAAGTTCAGTGAGAACAGATGAAATATACCCTTTATGGATAGAGATTTATTGCTCCATAAACCCACTTCTCTCCCACGGATAGTTGATAATATACAACAATGGCTTCACTTTCTGCATTCTCAATTTCCACACCCAATTCCCATATTCTTCTCACTTCGTCGTCATCTAATTTCAGACCAATTCGATTGCAATTCCCATGTGTTCGATTTCAAAATAAAATCAAAATTTTCGCCATTGCTGCTTCTTCGAAGCGAAGGTTTCTTAGACCCACAAAAATAAGGTCTGTTGCAAAGGAAGAACAAACCCTTGTTCCGGAAGCTGAAGCTGAAGCATCTCCGCCGCCAGCTGCCGCCACTGCTGAGCAGACAGTCTCCCCTTCTGATGCCCTCACAATGTTCTTTCAGGTATTTCTATATATTTATTAAGGGGAAGCAAATTTGTTGAATAGAAACTCTTTGTAATGATTTCGGTTTCGATTCAAGGGAGCATAAGTGGTTTCGAGTCCATTTATGAAATTGTGCCCACATGAGACATGCTAGGATGACGAGGGAAAGTTTGATAATTTCTTACACAATCCATCATTTATATTATTACAATGGAACAATAATTAATGATTAATGTGGCGGAAATTCCTGTTATCTAGTAACTGCTAATTATCACTTGCCTGAGTTCTAAGCAAGAGTCTGTTAAAAATCATCATTCTGGCTTTGACTCCCGTTTTGTGCCTTCTTGAAATGTCTAGGCAGAAGGATCAATGATTGATGCTGCTATTCCCATAGTGACCAAAGCTTTGGAGGTATTCATTTATATAATATTTTTCCTTTTTCTTTTCGTTAACACCAGGTATTGAGGTTAAGTCGTATTTATCTAAATCTTCTCATGGGGTAAGACGCATACCTCATGGATTTTCTGTAATATGAATTGTTTTTACTAGTTGTTAGTGTTGACTTCGAAAATTGGACCTTCCACGTGACCAACTGATAGCTACTCCACATATTCCTCCCTGCACACAATCAACGCACGGTCAGACGCACATGGTCGGGACCAGCGGGGGTGGTGGCGGCCGTATACACTCCGACGGTCAAGTCAGATTCAGGTGATTGGAACAGTACCCAGAGGTTGTGTCAAAAACACTAAGGGGGAGGGGAAATTATATAAACTTGCTATGGAGTGCTATGTTGTAAGAGTTTCATTACATTTGCCTCTTGCCAAACCTTGGGTATTTATAGGTGGGATGAACCGTTGGATGTGAGACACGTGTATATATCTGACGGTATGAAGCATCCGCTCATAGGTTTCAATCAGCCACGTCTGTAGAGTGGGCGAGCAGTTTGTTTCTCCCGAGTTGAGTTGACATAAAGTTGATAAGTCACATCAACTAGCCTCATGGAGACGTCAAATCAATTTAAACCTTAGGTGTAGAGAGAATCTTGGCAAAAGTCTCTTTCTGAAATTGGCGGCGGATCTTATGACAGAGGTCCACTTCGCCTCGGCCCTCAGAAGCGAGGGTGCTTCGATCAGTTCAGCAGGATCGCCTATGTCTCGCAGTGTGGTATCAGGTCGTTGACATTGGTGAGATCACTTTGGAAACACTTCGGATGGGTGTCTATTAGGTCGGAATGTGTGGTGGTGGGCATTCCGAGGCGGTTCAGATAGGGGCGTAACAGTTAGCTCAATGTATTTATACTGTTTTTTAGTTGAGTTTATTTCTTTTTTGCATTTTGACTTGAGTAATGCTATTCATCTAGAGTCTCCAGTTGGAATGCATTTATGTACATTGGACATAGACATATGATGATCTAGACTCTAAATGTATAGCATTATTCTTTTGACTTATGCTGCTCAAGTAAATGTATGAAGACAAATTCCATCAGTTCGTAGCCAACTCTCGCTTCATGCTACTAGCCGTGGGAGGTCTAGGAAATCTGTTTAAGTGTCGTTGTATACATTTGTGATGGTTATCGTGATGATATTAGGTCAACTATAATTTTCGAAAGGACAGGAGCGAGTCGTACAAAATGCAAATGCGCGTTGACACTGAAACCTTTGAATTCCTAGGCAGCGGAAACCTCCTCTATAGTCCCTATATAAGGTTGCAATAGCTACACAGGGAAATGACCACTTCAATTTATATGACAGCATAGCTACACAGGGAACTGACCACTTCTATTTATATGGAGCGTTTGTCCAAGCTTAAAAAATGAGTTATACTTTATTTACAGCAAGTCAAAAACTGTAAGATTTTATGTTTAAAATTTAAAATTAAAAAACAACTTGTAAAAAATTTCAAAAATGCTTGGCAAAAAGGATACTTGAAGGTCACTTTCAAGCGTAACCAAACATGCTTCGAGCTCAATGGAGTCATCAGATTAGGTCTTCAATTCAAGATGGTAAAACACTGGCTGGCTGATTTTACCTTTCTTATATTCCTGCTGCTTGAAAAATTCTTCTTTGCTTAAAATTCGATGTCTGCTTCTAAAATATAATTCAAAAGTTGGGCACTATTTAATCTTCCAATTATAGATGAATCTATGAGTTCATGCATAGTCATTCTTTCTGAAGTGGATCTATTGTATTGTGTAGGAAGTAGAAGGCATTTCATATCTCAAAGTACAAGTTCGCGAGGGCATTGCCAGTGTGAAGGTGAGCTTCACTACCTGTTGCTGTTTACATTATATTACCAATTTTTTTCATTAAGATGTGGAGAAAGAAATTAGGTGGGGTGTAGAGAAAATTATTTCTGTATTTTATTCTTTTACTTTTTCTTAAATGAGTATTTCAATTTCGAACCCAAGAAAGCACTGAAAGACTTGAATGTGTATTTCATATGTGAATTCAGCTATAGTAATTTTGTCTAGATGCTTTCTAAGTCGAAATGCATCGCTTTTAACACCCTGAGAATATAGTGATAATTTGGTAAACTTCTTAGGACCATGTTTGGATAAGGTTAAAAAGTTTACTTAAAAGTAAATTATTTTGTCTTAAAATAAATAAATTCTTTAGATCAACATAAAAAATAAGCTAATTACTTATTTTGGCAGCAAGGTAAGAGTTACTTTGAAAATAAACAACTTATTTTACTTGAAGTAAGAAAAAGTTTAATTACACAAAGATACTTTTAAGAATCAAAAAGTTACTTTTCAGCTTATCCAAGCTTTCTTCTAGAAAATTATGAAACTGATCCATGGTTTGATTTTGCTCTTGCTTTCCTGTTTACAAGCTTCTGGTATCAAAGAGGGACAGTAACAGCTGGGCATAAGAACTGGACTGTGAATATTTATTTTGTAGCATAGAACAAAATATATATATAAACTGATGATGATCTCTTTCTATTTTGTGTAGTTAAGAAAGCAAACAACCGTACAAGCTACAGGGGTGGCTTCAAGTTTGGTCGAAATTATACAAGGGTCGGGCTTCAAATTACAAACATTGAATTTGAGCTTCCAAGATGAAGAGGATATCAGTTAGATTTTTAACTGCTTGGTCTTTTGGGGAATCCAACGACTTCATTTGAAGTTTTCTCTCAAATTTTGAGTAACAGATTGTAGTCGAACCCATTGCTAGTAGAGTTATATGCCCGTCTCTGTCGATTATGTTTGTAAAATTGTCTTATCTTGTGTATTACTAGGTGAACAATCAATCTATCATTTAAAGATGGCCACTCAGCTATAGCTTCATTTTCTGGTCTCATTTGTGAAATTTGGATTGTGAATTTTGTATATTTGGTATGTTAGACTAAATGGAACTCAATTAGACAACTAATCGACTTTGCCACATGCTTAGTCATGCATATATTATAAAATTGTATCTTGTATGACTAAGCTTAAAATTTCTTATAAGTAACATAAGTTGCTTTGCGAAGTTTGGCTACAAATTGGACCAAGTGAGATAACTAAACCATCCCCAACCAAAATTGTTTTTGCAAATGATAACCTAAACACCCTCCAATAAAGGATGGATTGAGAAAGTTGGAAGTAAACTCAAAATCTAGAAAAGTTTGTTATACTTTTCAACGGCATACCTCGTGTGCAACTTAATGAATGATCAGGATTCTGTAATAGAAACTGGATAAGACAATTGACAAATTTTATCATGTGTCTCTCTTTTGTATTTTGATCTTGTCTTGTTTAATTTAACGCATCAAACATGTTCCATGTATGCGTCTTAAGTGTCAAACTCGACTAAGCCAAAAATCACCCATGTTTTATGTTTCACTGATTTAAGCTGTCTTATAGCTATGTGCAGCTAGCTACCAGGAGTGCAACTCAACATTCTCTTAATGTAGTATATACCATAATTATACTTTTGAATTATCACTTATAAGTAGCTCTTGTCCTTGGTTTAATTCTTCTGTTCCTATCAAAAAATGGCTTTAAAAGAAGTGCTCTTATCCTTCTTCTTATAGCGTGTATAAAAGAGTTTAGATGGTTGAAACTTGAAGTGACGTACAAAGTTATTTTTTATTTTTTATTTATTTATTTATTTTTTATTTTTTTTGGGGACTCGATTCCGAATTTCTAACAATATTTTTAATTTTGTAGGTTTTTGAAAAAGTCTGCTTTCTGAAGAAATATATTTATGCTTGATTATTGTTGCCATTACATTGTGATTAACGTGTACATGATTCAAGTTCTTGTAAAGATTTTCCATGAAGAGACGTGAATCAATTTCTATACTAACTATTATCCAATCAAGGGCACGTTACTAAATAGAATTTGATATAATTCGACAGTAGGAAGAACAAAAATTTATTTTGTTTTCCTTCCTTAATACAGACTAATTTGTCGATGAATTAATTTACATTTCTCTAGTTTTTCTACACGAGAGGGGCATATTTTAAAACAATTTACATAGATCACCCTTGTTTGAGCCCCATTTTTCCCCCCTCAAAATACAATTTTCAACAGTGATTTGATCCCACTTCAATAATATTACACGTAAATTTAAAACTTTTATTTATTTTTAATCACATATTTTTCATCAATACACTATTCAAAAATGTATTTTCTAACATCCTTTCTCTAGTTTTTCTACACGAGAGGGGCATATTTTAAAACAATTTACATAGATCACCCTTGTTTGAGCCCCATTTTTTCCCCCTCAAAATACAATTTTCAACAGTAATTTGATCCCACTTCAACAATTTACACGTAAATTTAAAACTTTTATTTATTTTTAATCACATATTTTTCATCAATACACTATTCAAAAATGTATTTTCTAACATCCTTGAGATCAGATTCTCCTCCAAAAATACATAGGAAAATGACTTGGATAAAAAAAAAAAAAAAAATGTGACATGATTTAAGAACATGGGTTAAAATGGACTAAATTACCCCCTCAATCCTGTTTTAATTAAATTACAATTATTATGGATAATTTTAGAAACATAAAATGTCGGGTATGTTATAAGTAGTTGCCTTTGATTACTCAAAATATTATTGGACTTTGAGGAAAAAAGCCAATTGAACTTGTCTTCATAACATAATTTTATTGTTGGTCCATATGGTTCATTCGATATATCAACATTGTTTAGCATATATTTTTTAGATTTTTGGAAGAATATACGGTTAAAAAATGGAGAAAATTTGTGAATATTATAGAACATGTGATTGAAAATAACTTTAGAGAAAAATATTTTAAAAAATTTCTTTAAGAAACAAGCTTGGATGAACAATGAAGTTAATAATCAATACAAAATAATTAAAAATATAAAGTGCCTACATGATTTGATTTTTAGGTGGCTCATGTCGAGCTCTAGAATATTGGTTTATGGTACATATAGTTTTGTGCCTATCAAATTGATCATCAGTTTGAATATAGTAATTTAAAGTTTAAACTAATAACATAGACAGTTCGTTGGAGGATAGGGGATCTTCATCTTACTAAGTTCGTATTTGACTTTTATAACATTCATTTTCAACACATATTCACAGAAGAACATATTTTGCAGGTGAATTCAAGATTTTCATTATTTTTTAATTACATAAACTCAAAAAAAAAAAAACTATTTAAAACATCATTTTTCCTCAATTCCTCTGGTTAAATATATAGAGATATCGTTGATAATTGATTTGAAAATAGTGTAAAGTATGTTACATAACTCAGACTCTAAGATGGCTCGTGTCAAAGTATAGGACGAGTTAGTTTATAGTACTTCTAGTTTTATGCCATTTAATTTGATTATCAATTTGAATATAGCATTAGATGTGTATAGTCTTCAAGGAGTCCTTTTAAGTTCCGCCCGAATAGAGGCCAATTCGGTCGATGGTTTCGTATAGCGGATATTTCGTACTTATTGCATCTTTTGGAAAGCTTAATTATTTTTTAGAATGTCAAAAATACATTTTATGCATACGTAGGATCTACATCTTTTTATCTAAAAGCAATACCAAACAGCCCTTATTGACGTCAGCAAGACTTGTTCCTCGTTCCGTTAACTCAAATTACCCATTTAAAGCAACCTTCGTAAACATGAAGATCCAGCCGCCATTTGATGAGATCGAGGAAAAATCACTGAACCAGTTCCCTAAAAACCATACAATCCTAACCTTGAAAAAGCATGAGGGGAGGCAATGGGATCTTGGGAGTGAGTGCCAAAAATTCCCAAGAAACAAGCATCATCAAAACAAGAAAACAATGGTTGAAAAGAAAAGAGAAATGGCTGGTTGTTCTAGGAATTATACTCCACGCAGTGTACATGCTTAGCATTTTCGACATTTACTTCAAGACCCCTATTGTCCATGGCATGGACCCCGTCACTCCTCGTTTCACCGCACCCGCTAAACGCCTTGTTCTTCTTATTGGTACTGCTTTTCTATTTTGCACTCTTAGTGTTCGATGTTTTGTTTCAGTGAATGGTTTTAAGGATAATTAGAGTTTTGCAGCTGACGGTTTAAGAGCGGACAAATTTTTCGAACCGGATTCAGACGGGAATTACAGAGCGCCGTTTTTGAGGAGTGTAATTAAAGAGCGTGGTCGCTGGGGAGTATCGCATGCCCGGCCTCCCACTGAATCTAGGCCTGGTCATGTTGCAATCATTGCCGGCTTCTATGAAGATCCTAGTGCTGTCACAAAAGGTAGGCAATCTTTTTGATGTTTATTTTAATGCATCGAAGCGAGTTTTTCCAAGTTGTTCAGTGCCATGTATTATAATGGGAAAGTGCTTCATTTGTTACGTCTAATTGCAATCTGCTGGAGTATACGTGTGTATGTACAGGATGGAAGGCAAACCCTGTTGAGTTTGATTCGGTGTTCAATAGGAGTCGACATACATTTGCTTTTGGAAGCCCAGATATTGTTCCTATATTTTGTAGTGCTTTACCGCATAGCACTTGGAATTCGTATCCTCATGAATATGAAGATTTTGCCACTGGTTTGTTACATCCTTTTAAGTATGATTTGTTTAAATAGACCAGGTTTCTCATTTTGCCCTTATTCAATGCTTTACAGATACTTTATTGTTTATGCAGATGCATCCTTTTTGGATGAATGGTCGCTCGATCAATTTCAGAACCTTCTAAATAGGTCCAATGAAGATGCACACTTGAAGCAGCTTCTTCACCAAGATAACCTTGTTATATTTCTGCACCTGCTTGGTTGCGATTCAAATGGTCATGCTCATCGGCCCTATTCATCCATCTATCTCAATAATGTTAGGGTTGTTGACCGTATTGCTGAAAGGGTTTATGATCTTATTCAGAGTTACTTCAAGGACAATCTGACATCATATGTTTTTACAGCCGACCATGGGATGAGTGACAAAGGTTGGATATGTCTGTATTCCATTGCATTAGTTAGAATGCCACTTGCTGAAATCAATATTCAATTTAGTTTATGAATCTGGTATATGGCATGCTGAATTGCTATATTTTCATTATAGGAAGCCACGGCGATGGACACCCTTCAAACACTGATACTCCCCTTGTTGCTTGGGGAGCAGGTGTTCGATACCCAGTCCCAGTTTCCCACAATCATCATTCTGAGAATACTGTTCTCTTTGTTGACAAGCACGTGCATGACATGCCAACTCCACCAGAGTGGGGTCTTGATGGCATCGAGAGACTAGATGTTAACCAAGCTGATATTGCACCATTGATGGTTGTACAAATTACTCACCGGTGGACCTTTTTGTTTAAACTCCAGATTCTGTCATTTGAAATGCCTCTTACATTTAATTCTCATTTTCTTTTTAAACTTTTGGCAGTCAACGCTTCTTGGTTTGCCAAGCCCTGTAAATTCAGTTGGGAATCTGCCTCTTGGATATGTCAGTTTTAGTGAGGTGCGTTGCAATTCTTTTCAACAATTCATGATTGAGCTATCTGATGGCGACATAATTTACTTATTTCTGCCTTTTGTCATTCTCTCAATAATTTTTCCCATTTTACTGGAATTGATTGGTGGATAAGTGACTCAGGATTGATTGTTTTACCAGGTGGAAGAAGTTGAGGCTGTGCTTGCTAATACGAGACAAATTCTCAACCAATTTCTTCGCAAGTCACGTATCCTTTATACTGAAAATGCCACTACTATTATAAAATGCAACAAGCTTGACTATTTCAAAAGCCATTAAACACCAGAGTGAGAGACACATACATGCTTCTATTTGGTTTCCTGGCCTCAGACGAAATACTTTTTAATTTCCCAGAATTTTGAAGTTAGTTTATTTTAGGAAAAGAAAATGTTTTT